TAAATCGCTGTTTCCAGGCTAGAATGTGTGACGCTGTTGAGAATGCTGCTTCCCACGCAGTCCGAAAGGTGGTAAAACGGCGGACGAATGTGAAGGACAGGTTTGCCCTCTACCCCAGTATGAGGAGTGGTGATTGAATACGTGTGAAAGTGGAGTCGTTTGTGTACTGAATAGATAGGAGGAAGGTGACTTACAACAAGCGTGCTACTGAGGGTAGGCAAAACACCGACTTGGGGTATCGTGTTTGCTGGTGGCGAAGGATGAAGTAATTTCAAGTATTGGCATGTGTGACCGACGTAAGTGTTATAAGATGGGTTAATTTGCCTACAACCTTCTACGGACTAAACTGTAAACGCTCCGTCTACTTTTTTCGCACAGGTAGCCTGATTGATTGTGCAAACCCTATTTTTTATGTTTGTGCGAATGAGCTACAAAATAATCCGTTCAACCGTTTTGTGGGGTCCTGATGCCCCTTGGCAACAGCCCTGTGAACTAATTTTCATGGTAATAAGTAGCTTCCACGTCAGTTCAATGCTCGAACGAAAAAAATTCTTTAACAATGATTCTGTTGTTACTTTGAAATTTCCAATGACTATCCTTTTATAATACATGGTATTTAATTTACGGCGAACAAGAAAAGGTAAAACCTCTTTTGCGCATATTTGCGGGAGGTCGCTATCTGCCCAATTGTGCTCCACTCTGCATTTTAGGCTACCTGAATGATTTGACTGGCTCGTACTCCTGGTCGATGCGGTTATGTGCACTCTGGCTGTTTGTGGGAACGCTAGTCTTCCTTCTTGAATTCCCTATTCGCCGAGCCATACGCATCCCTGACCCCACGGAGCCTCAACATGAACAGCTGAGTGACAACATGACTCCCACTAATTCCCCGTGGTGTCGTCACTTCGGAGGCCCGGCCACTCTCTCTGTTGAGGATCTCACTCCGCGGGCACCCTCAATTGTGGTCGCTTCAGTGCCACCGTCAATAGCCAAGGCCGGTCTCTCAGACTCCACAATCCCCTTCGTTTGCTCCCAATCCGATGAGGGCGAACGGTGTTAGTACCAGCGCCGCGGTTTTTTTCGTAGATCATTGATACACCCTGCCACATTCAAGTTTCCTTTTTTACACGGTTGTGCTTTGCACATAAGGAACCACTCGTTCGTTAATTTGAAAATCCTCCCCCATAAACTGTGATTATTACTATTATTATGTCTTACTAATTTGCTTGTGCATATTCGCATCAATCAGCAGTATTTATAGGAACTGCGACTGTTCGGCAATCGATTAGCTCACTGGTAGCGGCGGAATCTATTCCGGCTGTCGCTGCCACGCCCCCACATGATCTCTTTCTCTGAACTTTTTTGTTACCCTTGCCCACCTGTAAACGCGCATACATGAATGTGTGTTTATTTTAATACATTTTGTTTTGGATAAATTTGCTTCTGTCATTTTTGGGTGAAATCTTTCTTTTACAAAGTAACGCGTGGCTTAAAAGTACCCTTTCAAATATTATCGTAATTGTGGTGTGTGGCAGTGGCCTACTTTAACCACTGATGTTGTGGTGTGAAACCTAACCCGAACTGGTGGACCTGTGGTTCTGATTGGTTTACAAGCGTTTTGAATGAATTTACCATGCATAGTAGGAAACGAGAGCTAATTTACACTCCAACTTCGGTGCACTTTTACCGTTCAAACGGATAGTTTGTGCTGCTTAGACGCAAACAGATGAATAGAAACGTGCACACCAGGAGTTGAAAACAAGCCTCAAAGTGGAACATTTGTGGTCAACTTCAGAAGCAGGCGATCAAACACGCATATCCAGGATGTAATCATTCGAGTTCTCCAGTTAGCCGGTGTCTTTCCCTAATAATGTTAATTCGAGCTCACTTATACACCGGATACTGCTTCAGTCTAACAGGATGTGATTTTTTAATCGTTGCGTGCCCACCTCGGTCTGAGCTCAGAATTTGTCACGACTCATGACACATCCGCTTCACCAAACCGGTTAGTAATTTCAAGCGAGAAATCACTTTTACAAAATGATCTCGATTTCAAGAATGCAGTTCCTAGCTGTCATCATCAAAAATTGTGCAAAGTAAAATTTAGGAACAAAATCGCGCCAAACAGGTACGATTTAGAAAGTGGTGGATAAATTTTATTGTTATTGCCCGAAAAATTCTGATTTATTGGAAAACGGTCCATTATTTTAACCACGAAGTCTTCAAATATTTTTGTAAGGAATCAATCTGCCAACTAAAATGCATCTGATGTAGGCCAGCATCCTTGACAAACTACATTTCGTGTAGGCGAAATAACTGTGCTTAGCTGTAGATATGCGCAGTGGTTCGAAATGTTTCACCATATTTTGAGTGATGGTTTCGCGTAAATATTAAAGGTGTAAATTAATGCCCCATGTAATGAAGTTGATCTAGGAGTCTTGGTAGCTCGGAGTGGAAGATATCTCAGTTTAAGTCAGACAGCAACTTAGCAAGATTTCGACGCAGTTGGTAAGGGTAGCCTGGTAGACAAGCTTTCGCTGCATTAGCTGAAACCGCTGCTCTCATTCGTTCAATTTGCCATTTAGTGAAAAAATTCGCATTTCTTACCAAGACAGACGAGCACATTGGTTCCTACACGCTGGTATTTGTAGCAAGTTTGTCCTGGGAATTCGTCTTCCACGGCTGCACCCGTAATAAGGCGTTGCTTATTTTCAAGTATCAGAGACCAATCGAACTACGATACAACTAATATTTTGGCAAAGAAACAGAATATTCCACTGAAACAAAGTTCATGACGAAAGTACAGTGAAAGGTGGGAGATAGATAAAACTCAGTTTTGTATATGCAAGTACCTACAAGCTGAAAACGGTCAACTGCGGAAATATTTGCAAAATACTAAAATACTTTATTTGCGAACAAGGAAATGGATTCTCTTTTCTGAAGTAAAGATCAAAGCGAGTTATGCTGTACCATTCATAAATTATAACAATAAAACAAACGGTCTGGTAATTTCTAGGTCCCTTTCTAAGCAGCCTTTTCTTCATAAGCCGCTATGACTTAAAAAGAGGCCCACATTTATGTAAACTACGAAAAAACACGCTTACAATTGAACTTCTGAAGGATAAACTGCTAGCTCCATAGGACTGACATTCCACAATTACGAGATAATTATACGATATGCGTCTTTTTCTCTAACATGTGGTGCTCATACTCAAACTTGTTTGTCTCACTGGAGCAATGTTTTCCAATATGTAAGCACTTTATTCGGTTATGGCAAATTAAATCAAAGAGAATTTATGACAATTCGAACTTTTGATCGTGATGTGGCACTATTTAATTATAACAGAAAGCCGTGGTAGTTATACTTTTTATGTCTCGTTGAATAGTCTAATGTACTTTTTCGAGGTCGCATTCGAATTCACGTCTTTACTATTAAGTAGCCACAAATATGTCATAGCATAAATCCTTTCATTCTAGGTGTGCTATTTTATCAAACATTTAACTCTGATGATGGAGTACGTAGAGGGTTAGATCTTGTGTGCCCTGTAATCGGAAGTTACCGTAAAACAAGCGACTGGTCATTTTGAGCTATCTTCAGAAAGCTCGTAATGAAGGTACAAGGGACGGCGGCTTGTCAATCTGGTGTTTCTGACGCATTAAAAAGGGTCCAATTTGTTGGAGTGGGTAGTTGGGTCGGTTGATAAATAAACCAACTTCAACTATCTGAGTACCGTGCAACGGCAATTTAATGACTATCTTAATGCTCTCTGGGAATCACTGCTAAACCATGCTGCTTGAATGTTGGGATAATTGTTCATTATGAAAATAGAGTCCAATGATAATTGGATTCGGGCTGTCTAGGATTTACAATGTTGTTAATATTTTCAATAATTTTGCATCAGTTCACTAAAGGTGATAAGTAATCTGTGGAGGCAAAGGTTTGGCAAACACTTAACTTGAATCGGTTTTGATAATAATTAAAGCGCGCATCCAACTCCATCAACAATGAAATCCAAGTGAAGTGCTTCCAAATAAAGGGCCAGTTGCATGACTCAGATTATGCTTGGCACTCTTATTTTGTGAAGAAATTATCTATTACAGGATAGATTGAATCTCACTTTACAAAATTTTTAAGCATCATTTTCGGTCTAGTAAGAAACGTTTCTCCGTTTGGATGAAATTTATACTACAATGATGCCCTTTCGTTTAGTAATCACCAGCATCTAAAGGGTCAAGCATTTGAAGCAAAGGATATTTGCAACAACAAACTTAAATTGAAAACAGTTGCATTCAAATACGTTAGATTTGGCTTGTTACATTACAGGCATACCTAACTGGCAGAAGAAATGCAGCAAGAAATCACTAGGTGCATATTTAATTTCCTAGAAAGATTAATAATAAGGTTCATAACTTGGCTATTTCTGTCCTATTGAAGTTGACCTTAAGCGAACTATTTCCGAAGCATAGCCATCAGGATCATAAAGTGCATTAACTTAGATATAATATGAGGGTAAGCAATGATAAAAAGCCGAAAAGCTAGTACTTTAATAACATTTTCATACTCGATTCCTGTGTACTTTGTGTTTTTCGGCTGTGCATATAAGCAGGCCCATATATAAGGGCCATAGTGCCGAAGAGCAGACACGGTTATCACTTGTGCTTGAGAGACTGCTAACTTGCACTGCACTATGACTGAGATTGGCCAAAATCCCGATCAAGTCCATCATGAATCAAGTAAGTCAAGCATTAATGCCGAACATTGCACAACCCATTTCTGCACGCTGGCACGTTTCGGTTAATTGTAATACATTCTTTCAGCTGTCCTGCTTGGGAAAACCTACGAACCCGCTGGCTACCCAGAATTGCCGACAAAGGATTCTTACCTTGAGCCAACACAAGAAGAAATCGAAAAAATAAGTTAGTCGTTTTCTTCTATTGCTTACAAAACACTTCAGTCACGATTTTAATGATAAGTCCTACTCTTTTAGGACTTTTTAATTAGGTATGAAATACGGATAAACAGCTGATTTTTATCCCGCTTGTTGCATAATACAACAGTCACACTTCCAGAGTACTGTGAAAAAAAAATGACCTCGATAGGCAACTTATGGGCTTGATTTTTTGTCCAATGGCCAGTTTGCGAGTAGCTTATTCATTACGCGATCACCCGATCCAAAATGGTCATGGAAGTAGCTCATTGTTGAGACGATCGTTTACATAGTTGTTCTGTTAATTTTTGAATGCGTAAAAATTCTAACTGCACTATTTTCATAGCGTGACATTTAATGATGGTTGAACCAATTGACACGTTTAGGCCAATTGTAGCTTACAAACTTGTCGGTCGTCAACAGTAACTCGTAGTTGACCATTTGACGATATAAATGCTTTTACTGTCATATTAATCTTATGTTTTACGTAAATGCTCTGGCTGTGGTTTTAAGCATGATACGATTGTATCTAGTGGCGATTTTATGAACGGCCACGCTATTAGAAGCATTTCTGAGTGAAATTTTACCATTTTGCTTTGTTTTTCTTTCAAGTCTCGACCCCTGCAATTGATGGCGAAAAACTGAATCAACTAATAGACCTAATAAACCAAATGCCAAGTACGTCGCAAGTCTATTTAAACTGATTTCACGTGAATTATTCTAATGTCAACTTTCTCTTCGCCTTACCAGAAACCCAAAATCCGCCTTACGCAGAGGAAGGGCAGGCTGGAGTTCATTTGTCCGGTACTGACGGCTCTGGGCATCGACAAATGCCTACTGTTGAGATGGACCACCGGGTCGACCATAGTGGTCCTGGTGAGGCCGTCATCCAGTCTCAAGACCAGAAATCCGAAGTCTCAGTTCAAAGCCGTACGTGTTACTGGGGTAGCTTTAACGATGGAACCGGGTGTACGCTTTGTGATTTAGAACAATAAGAGCATTTACCGATGTAGGGAGATCATAAGAATGACTGCCTGTTGGCAAGGGCGAACGTCGAGTTTCATCAGGTCATATTTTGTACAAACACTTTTAATCTTATGGAGGTATTAAGATAGCAACGTTTCTAATTGTAAGCTCCTTGTTCAAATCAAATGTACCTGGTAAATTATAGTTATTCGTTTAAACCTATAATTAAGTGGGTTAATGAAGTATTTTCTACCAGCGTATCATCTGTCCAATTGTTGACTTCCTTGAGTTTTCTATGATAGAGACTCAAGAACATAAGAAAAAATTCACTTGGCCAAGGCTTCGCAAAAAGGGCTCTCAATGTAAGTTACAATTTTCACTTGTTTTTCACAGAACGCTGATTTAAAAAAGGAACGACAGACCTGAAGCACATTTTTTTCGCTTAAACTCTATTAGCTGCCTAACCCCAAATCTCTACACTAGTCTTCTTTAAAAACACTTTTGTTGAGTGAAGCAGGCTTCGTGAATCGATTTCCGAAATCAAAACATTGTTTGTTTACTATCATTACCTATTCTGGTAGAAAATCATGGCATCTCAATTTAACACACACACACACACACACCAGTAATGACGCTATTTTTACATGGTAATCTAGCTACTTTGCGCTTACAGTAAGAGAAAATTCGACTTTTGCTGAGAATTACTAGTCATTGTTTTAATTATAGTGAATTCTGGCTCTGCGTGTGGCCAAGTTAACGGTGGGTCCAGATTTTCTTGTTCTGTTTTGTTTGTAATCTCAAGTTTCATTTATTGACAGTTTCTTTTTCCCATTTGCAGCGGAGTACAAGAAGGTCTGTGAAGTTGAGATGGTTCCTTGTATGGTTCCACGATGTAGGGCTGTCAATAAAGGTGGTACGTTTCAGTGCATATCGACTTTCGCCAATTCTTATTGCTTGACAATCATTAAGCTAACTACGGCAAATTTAGGACACTACTACAATCACAGAAAATATTAAAATACATCAGAAACCACACTAATAATGCAAAAGTTTGGATCAAACCCTTCTGCATTACGCTGACTTGTAAATACACCACTTTAATTCAAGAGTAGGCTCCCCGACTAAATTGTCACTGCGATTAATTTCATTGGTAAAAATAATGATCCCGCCTAAATGCCGTCTTTGTAGGAGAACATCTACAGCTTTAAATTGGCTGATAATTCGATTTGACTTCCACAGTTAAGCAAAGTTAAGTTTATGGACATAACAAAATGATTTTGAGCATTTCGAGTGATTGACGATAACAGAGAACGCGTAATAGACCGTTATTAAGGCAGATATCCACGACCGAACCTCACGTAATTCACAAGTGACTTCGGTGATAATAGTCAAAGGGGAAGGCAAGCAGGATAACAAAATGCAGCTCCAACACTCTCGTCTCGGGCGAGCAGCCATATCAGAGTTATTAAAACAACACTAGTCAAATCCTCGACTAAGCAACAAGCTTGCATAAACTGAGACTTCTCCATAAAGCACTGTGGCCTATTTGTACTTGTGGGCAGTTACACAGTTTTTACATCATACACCATTCACACCAGAGGTCAAAAAGGATTTCACGGAGTTCCGTGTTAGCTACAACTGAAAATGCACCAACTGCTTAAATTTCATTTGTAGAGGGGGAATGCTGCTTGAAAAAACTCTGCAAACCAAGAACTTGTATGGGTAAGTAAGCTGTTAAGACGATACTGTTTGGTGTATGGAACACTAAAGTCAGCAGCACTTTGTATCTTATATTCCAGTTCCGAAAATTGTGATGGTGCCATGTGAAAGTAAGCCTCCTACTGCCATTTCTGCATATAGCTGATTTATGTAGCTTTAACACATCAGCAAGCTGAATTGCTATATAGTAGAGAATTACAATATTTCAATCAAACTAGATTACATTCTTTTTCATTAAAAGCGTCTGGATGCTGCAAAACAACTTCAAAAGAAACGGGTAAGATTTTCGAGTTTAGAAACACGAATTTTTGGCATTATAGCCAAGTGATTAAGTTTTAATTAATTAGCACCATGTCAACAGAGGACCAACGTTTATGCACCAAGCGAGAATTATCACCTGACAAAGTACCACGTCACAACAAAACCGTGTTGTGTGGGAAGGAGGAAGATCCAGCTTAATTAATTTAAGTTTCTAAACGGCAATCAGCATTGGAGAGTCTATTTTGTTTAGTCGAATGTTCTGTCTAACATTAATTATTTATGAAATATAATTTATCCAGATTCGAATTAACGCGATTATTTTAGACTGCGTCTGTCAAGATGATGCTCACGTCGCAAGAGCCCCCGAAGTTAACAGTAAGCAATAGTGTTTCAATTATTAATTGTTAAAATTGTCTCAGCGTTCACTCAGTATTCCGCTGTCTATGAAGATGTCTTTTTACAATTCTGCAAGCTATTTTAAGCTCTTCTTTTGCAATCCATGTCGCGTGTCAAGTGACTAGTGTTTCGTCAGTACCAACTGTCAAAACGAACGTTTCTGAAAAGGCGAGGCTTCAAAACTATGATTCTAGTCTGAAATCTACACGTTCATACTCTGTATCTCTTCATTTGAAGCCTACGTGTTTGCATAATAATATTTGCTGCACAAACCATAGAGATAACTTAAGTGATATTAAGATTTACAACAGTCACACTCTAATAAAAAAAGATTTTGCCAAAACCCCGCTTATCCTACACAGTAATTTTTTTTAATATTGCATAAATTTGTAGCAGCACAACAAGACGACATCAACATTGGAACGCCTGGAAACGATGCTGAAAAATCTCGTCCAGGTGCGCTATATTTGGCAATTTCGCGTTACTTGCATAAATTGACAAATATATGTGCCAGTATGTGTATTTAAATAGGAACGTTTGAAGCCTATGGTGACAATTCATACAACACGGGATTTAACTTCGCATCAGCTGGTTCCTACTCAAGCCTGACTGGTGCTGTTGGAGGTATAGAAACTGGCCTCAATGGCATCGTAGGAGGTGTGAACACTGGCCTGAACGGAATTACAGGAAGTGCAGGATCTGGTCTTAACAGCTTAGCAGGTGGAATTGGTGCGGGTCTCAGTGGCAGTTACGCGGCTGCTGCTCCTGCATTTACCAGTGGTGTCCACGGTGCTAACAGCGGTGCTGGTGTTGGTGCTGGTGGACTCAATGGATACTTTGGCCAGTTCCTCGGAGGAAGCACTGCGGCTCTCAATTCACCCTATTTGGGTAAGATGCCACTTTCTTCCATATGAACATTGTGGCACGACACTGCAGCCTTACGTGTATGCTTGGCATTCAGTGACGATAAAGTCACACCGACACTTGAAAATACAAATCGAAGAATCTAACCATCTCCCAATCACGTGCATTCACACTGACGGTTGACGTTTGTGCTGACAGAAGCTGTTTTCACTTCAGCTCCAAGCGCACCCTTCATGTCACCCACACAGCCATTGGTGCTTGGAGGTATGTCAAACGTGTTCTTTCAATGCAATGCACTTATCGCTCGAGTCAACCGACTCTCGTCTTTGCTTAGACTTGTCGCGATGGAATTCTGTGCCCACGATTTCAGCTCCCTCGGATTTGGGTAAGAAAGTGGAACTTACTGCTGTTTCATTTCATGCCAATTCCAACCCACGCAAACTGCCTGGTGAACCCAGAACGGAGCTACACCGAGGCATCCACCAACATGCATTCGTGACTAATGTCTAACGGTGATCACGAAAGACGCGTCAGTGGTACACAGACATCTACCAACGCACATTCACGTTCGCTTTTGTTCTCCATTGCAGCATTGTTGGCTGAAGCAATAGTAACAAAGCCTTCTCTTTTATTTAGCTGATGTCAAAATTGGATACAGTCTTAATCAAATCGATGAAGATGAAGTGGAATATGAGACCAAATACGAGGAACGTAAGTTTGCCTGCCCCTCTTCACATTCACCTCCCAACATCATTGAATGCAGAGGTTTGTGACATTCTAATTCGCTTTGACACGGCTGCATCAGATCTACTTGACCCTCACATTCAATTGTGTGGCAATTGGAAAGTGAGCTATCGACAAGGCGATCTGCTGACGGTTCCAAGACGCGATTGCTTGGTGTTTGGTTGTGTGTGATTTGATTGTGTGTGACGGGCAGTTCAGACGAGGAAGGAATCTTGGCAGACCTGTTCACGGAAGAGCGGTTGTCACCTTGGTCACACGATCGACAAGCTCATAGCCGTCTAGGGCCATTGGTTAACTTGTCGTAGCAAACCAGGTGGTGGTTCGCAACGGCATACGGCGGTTTACACAATGCCGTGTTTGGTGAAATCGTTGGGTGTTGGTGCACTTTAGCCGACTTGGAGGAGTACAATCGACAGGTTAGCCTGGCGAAAGAGGAGGCGGAGAAGAGGAGGAAGGAGCTTATTAGTCAACGCGACGCAGAAGTGGCGAGGCGACGTGCCGAGGCGGAGCGCAACCTCGAGGAGGAAATCGCACGTCGCAAGGCCGACGCCCAACGCGCCCGTGATGAGGAGGTGCGACGTAAAATTGCCGGTGAGTTTTGCAATATCGACGGTGGACATTGCAAGCACGTAGTTGAGTTGACTCAAATGTGTTCATAGGCGTTGGTATTGAGGACAAGACAAACTACGAGTGGTGTCTGTGACTTCCTTCTGAGGGCACGCAAATGCGGGGGTCATATCGAGAGAGCAATTTGTGTATTTCAAACCGGTCACTCTTCCTCTTTGAGCAAAAAACCCGCACAAGCGAGAAAGCAGTAGAGTGCCTACAAGTAATGCGACAAGTGGAAGTCGGCTCAATAGTGAGAAACAAGACACGAAGAAAAGCGAGACGTGTTCCCTGGTGGTAATGTATTGCTCCATTTCCGACACAGGGCTTTCATTTTCACAATAATATTCATCTTGGATTATCGTCACACCTAGGACTCGATGTTTGGTTATCAATGAATAACGCCTCTGAAGCATAAATACACACGCGCAAACCCCACACATGATACATCGACACCAACATAGTGAATCCATGAAGTAAATGGTCTTTTTCTTCATCGCGGGTATCAGGGAAGCGTAATCAGGCCATGGATAATTCGGTGGCCCCGGCGGGGTTCAAGACCACATGCTGGGGCCCACAACGGTATTGAAAGAAGGGGCACATTGCTTCACATTTATTAGCAAAAATATAAGTGAGCTTGTTTCCACTATTTCAGACGCCGAACGGATTCGCAAGCAGAAGGAGCAGCAGCTGACTCAACTCTTTAGTAAGTTTGCTCTTCACAACCTACCTGTGCAGCTACCCTCCAAGAGGACGTGCACACAAGCATCCTGTTTCCCTCTTTTATCCTTTTGCTGTTTTTAAACGCATTCTTTGTGTTTTCATTTGTGTTAGGTCAGAAACTGAAGGCGTTGAGGGATGCGGAGGCAGCCAAACGCGCACAATACGAGAAATGTAGGCTTTTTCACGTGCCGCACCCACTCACACGGCAAAGAATAACGTTAAATGACAATCATGTGTTGTAATTTCAGCAATTTTGGAGATTAGCCAGAGAGAGGGGCCTATTCGACAGCAAATCGGTATGTTCTAGTGTGACAATACAGTCGGGTTTCCTCAAGTTGTATGCTCTAGCAATATCACATTATGCATTTCGTCTTGCAGCCCTGGCTCAAAGTGGCTTACAGGAACTCGAAATATACAAGGCACAGATCAGCGCCCAAGGTGAGAGCCATGCTACAATTCTATACTAGAAGGCATGTCTCAGGTAGTAAATGCGGCTTCTTTTGTTTGCAGAGGTTGAACGAAGACGCCAAATCGTCATTCTGAGTAAGTGAATGCAGGAGACAGTGCTTAGAAGTGAGCCTGTTTTTGTATCTTACCACGGAGGAAGTAATGCGCATTGTATACCAACTCTAATTTAGCCAATTCACGTGCACGCTTGATGCATACCTTGGTGAAGGAGCAAGAGGCACGAGCACCCGATTCCATTGCATTTAAGTTCTCAGCACGAACACTAGAGCAGTAATATTTTTATCCAGTAGAAAGGTTTATACACAAGTTCTGCAATGCACTGCGCACAGCTCTCACGCCCTGTCTCTCATTGTAGGCGAACAGCTCAAAGGCCTCCGTGTGCCAAGCTACAGCGCAGACACTGGATCGGAGAAAAATTTGCTCGCTGAATACTGTGAGTAGATGTGATAGTTTGCAGTCGCAAATGAAATAACCAGGTCTGCAACGGGTTTAGGATCAGAGCAGGCTCACCAGTGTGCGGAAAGTGCAGATTTCTCAATAGCACACATTTAGGGTTAGAAGGTGTACATGCGGTTGTTGAAATTCACAGAATCCGATTGTGCAGTCGTTGATGGCGATGACTAGTCCCAGGTTGACTTCAGTCAACTACATCGATGGTGTCTAACCTACCCGGTACTTTGTTGCAGGCCAGCAGCTCTCGGATATCAAGTGCGAGGAAAAGGAACGCATCTGTGCTGCAGGTATGGTGGAAATCTCCGATTCACAAACACTGTCAAAGCCTATTAATACTTGCAGGCGTACATAACTTTGGTTTGTTGTTTTAACTTTAGAAGCAACACCGCTGCCGAAGATTGAGTGTCGTAAGTACCGCGTTTGAAGCTTTAATAGTGCATTCTGCATATTCTTGTGATTGCAATCACATATGAGGGCACAAATTTGTCCTAAGCACATCCCGACAACGGGACTTCTGCGGCATTCACCTCAATAGGAAGCGAACTGGCTAGAAGCGTCTTTGTTAGGGCTTGACTCTTGTGTTTGACGAAATGCATTCAAATTGCATCATCCCTTTTCCCACGGTGTTATTTGGGAGCTGTAATGAGGACATGCAAACAGGAGATTGGTGCCAATTTTCTCAATTGTTCGTCACACCTTTCGATTTACATAACTCCCCTCGTTTGCATTACAGCCGAACTGCCCGTCATAGTCATCCGTAAGTGCTTTCCTCCGACTTGCTACTAGACACGGCACACAATATGCACCTGTGTAAACCTGTTTAAACTTCATTTGCAAGTACTTGAAAAGCAGTTTGTAAGAGTTGTTTTCTTGTGTACCTTGCAGCTGAAATTCCAGAAGTCGAAATACGTAAGCGTTGTTCTGCACTATTTTTGAAAGATTGCACAACATGGTGCATTACTTATTACCGATTTGGCTTTTCAGCGAACATTCCGAAACCGGAGGCTCGTGAGATTAAGATCCGTAAGTGACGCTTTCAGGCAACCTGTTGTTAAGACATTGACGCACGTCCTCAACGCCTTCATTTGTTTGATTGTAGCCAAAATCAAGATAAAGCGTGAGTCTCAACGACTGCTTGAGTTCGGTGACATCGATGTTGCTGCTGTCCATATTGTTGTTATTTTATTATTATCATACGAAACCAATTGTGTATGCGGTGATCTGATTGCTTCTCTTACTTTCAGCCAAGCCACAGCCTCCAGTCGAACCAATACAAATGTCTGCACCTGTTTTCAACACTCCAGTGGCTGCACGTAAGCACACACACCTTCTCATTGCACAAGCAATGCGGCTCTGTGAACATGAACATGTGTGTACCCTCAGATGGGGATTCATTGCAAGCATTGGGTCGTATTGAGGCGCATTGCAAAAATGCTCATCTGACCTGAACACAGGTCATGTTTCACAGTTGCTAACTGCGTTGACTCATGCCCGCAGTAGTGTTTGGGGCATTTGTCATCCACGATTCTGTCGACACTATGGTGAACCACCAATTAAGCTTTCCTTATTCATTTTAGCCCCCTGCAATGTCATTCCAATTTCACCAGGTGAGGTGCCAAGTTTACGAGTCAATTGTTTCCATGGTGTTAGCTTACAATATGTGTGATAGCCAGGCAAAAGCTACTCGCCTCGACATTGTACGTACTAGAGCTCTTCCAGTATGTCTCAATGTTTCTTAGCATGGCTGTAAATGTCCGCTTAACGTGTTCGCTTGTGGTCGTTGTGCTTTTGGAGATGGTGTGCATGAAAGTGTATATCACCTTCTGCGTGTGTGCTGGAGTCGCAACACTGACACCGTCAAACCAGATTGCCACTTCGTCAGAGAGCAATTGACATTCGCACATGTTGGTTTCTGTCGACTGCACCGAAATTGGCAACTTAAATGACGTATGTTCCGACTCGTGATTTGTAGTTGCCTGCTGTCAGCCAACTCCATGCTGCCATCCACATCAATGTTGCCAACCGCCTCAATGCTGTCACCCACATCCATGTTGCCGAAGCTACCAGCCTGCACCAGCGCCAGCTCCCAAATCCACCTGCTGCAGAACTACTTCACGATCCCGTGAGTTTTTGTCCACAACTTACTGATTGCCATCTTTAATGCATCTCTTGCGTTATGGAAGAAGGGACTTGTCTCCGTAAGCTACCAGCTTGGAAGATATGCATTTGCAGGCATGTTGGTGATTCGCGAAGCGTGCTATCGGGAATCAGTAATACCAGAGCACCTGTAGGAAGCTAAATTCAGCAAGTGGTTATATTTTGCCGTCTCACGATTGGGCATAATGTTCAAAGGGGGAATATGACTGACAGAAGGATAAGTCATTACGCACACTCCCAGTCAAGGAGCACAGTTTTCAAACAAACGTGTTTTGTTTTGCAGCGTCTCCATGCCCGAAACCACGACGGGAAAAAGGTAAGACTACTTATGTGAATTAGAGATTTTGTTTACTTTACTTCCAATATTTTTCAATATTGTGTACCTTTACAGCAGATTCGATTTAACAGGCACATATTTCTGTGGCCACGAATGCTAATCAGTTCATCGTCGTACCCAGTTGCCACGCTTTCATGTAATCCAAGTCATCCTTTCAAGTCGTCATTATTATTGTTAATCCATAAGTACAAATTCTCACTTTATATCTTCTGAAGACGTCGAACGTATGTACCGGATATGTGGATTCAGATGAACGCGTGCACGATAAGCCTTCAAATACACCATTGAACCGTGGCTTCAAGGACGTTGGCAATGATCAACGAAATTGTTGCCATTCTGTGTTGGTTCCGACATTTCCCATTACCTGGCCAATTGATTTGCGTATATCAAGGAGATCATGAGGCACCAATTCACATTTCAGCCTCCCATTTTTCGCAACACCTTACTAAAGACGCTTTGGACAGTTTTGGCCGACATGTTAATTTTGAGTTGCAAACAAATTCTAGTCTGCATTACCTATGACGCCATGTCTTTCATCTTCCTCATCCTCATCTCCTTCTATTGCTCTGAGCTCTGTCTTCATTGAATGCCTTTTATTTTCGCAGCCTCGTGTTCGGCGCCATCGTGCTGTGAGAAGTCAGTGAAACCGTGCCCCCAACCACGTCTGTTTAACTTTAGCCCTAATGCCTTGTACTTAATGGGTTGCTGAAATCACGCGAAAGGATTTTTGGTGTCATTTAGGCTCCAAGTCGTCATGCTGCCTGGCTCCGAGATGCGCGCCACTGTCGTCAGACGAAGAGTGCTATGAATTCCAGGCGACAGGTGAGATATTTCAGTGTAATCAGTCAGTTGCCTGTGGATGCAGGCTCCCCAATTACACATCAGTTTGCATTTTGGCTGGATTTGGAATCGGTGGTGACACGGGTCGCACTGTCCACAATAACAAGAATGTCACGTCAACGTGCACTTGAGTTAAGTAGTACTGCAAAATGTTCGATCTCCAATCAGACATTCCACAGACAACTTTGAATTTGTGATACTGACATTACCTGATGACCCATGGCGCGAATGTCCACGCATGGAATCAACACATGCTGGCCACGTGTCTACAAATCATAGCACAGAACCGGCTTCAAGTCAATGGACGCCCATGAATCCACCACAACAAATGCGAGCTTACCATAATTCAGGAACAAATGCATTGTGCAAAATCACGCTGTAAATATGCGTGGCGATTGTGAGAAGACCCGGAACAAGGATTCGTGGAGTGTTTGTTCAGTAGACAGATGTAGTTTTCGAGTGAGGTAAGGAGGCATATTTAGTCCATTTCGTGATTGACACAAAAGGTGATAGTAACAAGATAGGATTAGTTGGTTTAATCCTGGGCATGAGGTTGTGTCATGTTCACGGCCAGAGTGTGTGGGTAATGTCTTCGATCAAACGAGCTCAATTGCGTGAAGTGTAATGCCCTGATATCAGTGGTTGCCTTTTAAAGCGCTCAGCTGCTTTGTTGTTGTTCAATTTCGCCTGCATTTCTCTTACAGATCCATGCAAGAAACCTCCTGAGTGCGGTGAGTTTTGCTAGCGTGCTCTGTTAACAACTAGTCACAATGTGTAGTTGAATAATTTGCCCCGCTATCAGTGGTTGCGTTTTGAAACGCTCAGCTGCTTCGTTGTTGTTCAATTTCCCCTGCATTTCTCTTACAGATCCATGCAAGAAAACTCATGAGTGCGGTGAGTTTTGCTAGCGTGCTCTCTTTACCACAACTAGTCATAATGCACAGCTAAATAATTTGGAGTACGAGTAAAAAGCGAGTATGCACAATTATATGTCAGTTCGAAGTGTCCTCGTTTGTGCTTGCAAATAATACACTAGGTTAGGTGAAGCTAACGAAGGATTGCCACTTTCACGTTCCGCCTTGCAATTTGTGTTTAAGTGTGCCTGTATTTCTTTGGTTTTGAATAGAGGAAACGAGTTCGCCGTGTTGCACAGTTGAGATGGTGCCATGCATGGGTGAGTGACTACCTGCACCACTTCACCTAGATCCACCGCACTAAAGGAACGTATCTAACCAAATATTTCTTTTAATTTCAGTACCCAGATCCAAGTGCTCGAAGCCGCCATGTAAGTGTACATTCAGGTCATGTCACCATCTAGTCCACGTGATTCCTTTACCTAAAGCACTCTAGTGGTAAATTCGTCACGACTGCATCCTCGCAAGCATGGGTGACGAAGTGTGCAAGGGTGGAAATAGCTACTGTTACACATGACACTCTGTACTATGTTGTTGAACGTGAGCGGTGTTTAGGAACCATGAGCCTCTCCGTCGACCTTGGTGTTGGTCAACGCCACACTGAACTGAAATGCTCATCTGTTCGCTGAAATATGAATGTGCTCTGAAAGCAGGCAGGTGGTTGATCGTGTGTGGGCATGCTCGGCTTTCACTCGACACATCACTGGAGTGGGCATATTTGCAAGGCCATACACCAAACGTAATGGAGGGCAACGTGCAAGTGCCACTTGCCTTGATTGCCCGATTGAGTTGTTTGCATGCGTGTATGCAGTGCCCTTTCTCTATTTAACTGCGGCCTATTTTCTGGTGTGCATGTAGGCTACAAACTGAAGTGTGTGAAGGTGTCATGCTCAGAGGAACCAATTCCATCCCACGCCCCACCGAGTAAGTTGTGGTCATTTCACCTAGACAACACACACGTATACGTGACCTGGCATGACATAGGATTGATGTGTTGAGCAAAGTGTCTAGCCCATTGCCTGCACCTCATTCAAATTACACGTTTGTTGTTTTCGCTCTTTCTTCTTCTTCTTCTTAATCGTTTTCGTTATCTAGAAGTCGAGGATGACTGCGCCGAAACCGGTCCAGAGAATGAAGGTGAGATTTCCACTAGCCTTCCGCGTCAACAATCCTAAAAAGCAGCAAAATCGGCATCGGGACAGCTACAATTCACACTGTGCTTGTGTTTCCTTTTACCCTAGAACTAACCGCTGGGCCTCCTGAGGAGTGAACGTCGAAGGGGGATCAAGGGAGAATGAAGCTGATTCACGATGCTCACCAAAATGTCACTGACTAATACACACCTCCGTGACCCTCTACACCTTGAGCACATTGCACTACAGTCTACGTGAAATAAAATAAATCCCTCTTTCTCAAGCTAGCACGGTGTTCTGTGAGTTCCAATAAGGCATGGGAAGTGATTTCAACTCCAAGGATACTTCTGCAATGGAACTGATATCAACAGACTTTTGTGGTTGCAGTAAGGATTTAGTTATAGAACCAGTGGTGGGTTCGTGCATGACACGTGATGTTGACATGCCTCTCGCAAATGAACTTGAGTTCATATTGCTGCGTTCATTAGTTCCATGTGCATTTACATGAACTTTCAAAAAGTAAGGACTCACAATTTCAACTCAAGCGACACTGCCCAGTTACAGCACACTGCGTTAGAACATGAATTGAGGGGGAGAAAAAAATACAGACACTTGTGCTGATTTACTAATCAAAAACCAAATTTGTCAGTTGAACATTTTCAGATCTTGACTTTGTTGTTGCTGAATGGCTGAGCAGGTGGAAGACACATGTTGGTCTAATTTGAAGCACTTCATTCTCCCGTAGACTGACTGGCCATTTCATGGGTCATTTGCGAGTTGGGGGTGGCAGAGCCAATAGTGTTTGAAGGAAATCGAATTGCGACCGCCTATGTTGGGTGAATATGGTGCAACTTGGGGCACCTGGCTTAAATAAACTTACAGAGAAATCAGCAAAACATGCTACCAACATTAGCTCTTTAGTAGATGCATTGTGGTTACAAAGTCTACGACTTGGTAGGTATGTCTAGCGACTTATCTCAGCCAGACAGATTTTATGTCTTTCACCGCACATGTTAGGTTGAATGCTTTGTAAATGTGAAAAGTCTAGGAAGTTGTGTGTTTGGCATGTGCGCGACACATTTCTTTATCCATAGACAGTTCCTGTGATTGATCGTGGTGGTGTCTACGGATATGTACGTGTCCTTTAGCACCTGAAATATTTCATACAAGCACTGTTCATGCACAATATTAGCAATCAAGGTTAACTCAAGGATTTTAGTTTCATGATTTCATTTTATGCGTCTCTAAGCTAGTTTGACTGATCCTATCCATATGTGAACTTGCTTTTTGGTTATGAAAATACAAAGCATTTATAAAAGGACGCAACGTTGCCGTCGAAATCGTGCATTTGTCTAAGCAATTCCCTGCTTCATAAGTCGAAAAATGTTCAATGCGAAGAATTGCGATTCTGCTCTAAAGGACTTTCAAACAAACCATTATCTTCGGCGAGTAGTAAAGATCGCCACCTGTTACATTTTAAATTATGAAAAGCCACAGGTTTTCAACAGGTTCGAATTTAAAATGTAGTCATGTACGTAAAACTGCTCTTAAAATCAAAGTTAGGGAACGAAGTACCTACTGCCACAATTTTTAATTGCTCGCATATTTCCTATATAGTGCTAGCATCAATCGGGTTAAAGTAAGTCAAGGCTGTCGGCACAATCTATTTGATCATTTTCGTCTAAAATAAAATTGATGTTTTTCGACGTATTCTAAATCATTATCTTGTGGTGTTTGATAATTTGATACTCGAATATGGTTTAAGGATCATAATAACTTTAAAATGAGAATCATTGCTACATTTTTATAACTTTTGTAGTTCATATATTTAGCCAGAAATCGGTACATTGATCTTCACCTTTTATGACCACCATGATCCCGATGAATTAGCAGTTAGATCCACCTAAGGTTCTTGCACTTTAATTAGAACATCAGTATCGTTGTTGTGTAAGTCGCAAAAATTGTAATTACCGGCATTACCATTTCAACTCAACCATTGATATGGTTTATTTGGCGTTTTGAATGCAAATAAATGTAGAACCAGGGTGACACAAAAAAGAGAAATGCGTTTTCGCAAGGAAAAATCTGGTCACGACGCTGCAAGACCACACTAGCACATTTCTGCTATTTAAATAAGGTTTCGAATGTGAAAAATATGCACCCGATCACCATCACAGGCGGGGCAATGTGTAACTGCTATTTCTATTGATAAATGTATGAAGAAATTGATAATTATACCCAGAATATTTTTTACCATAAGATAACATTTTCATTAAATTGCCTATTTTTTTCTTATTTACATATCTTTTAATTTAGGTTAATCCTGTTTAATCAATTCGATCAGTTAGTATTTTTGAGATTTACGGAATTTCACAAATTTTTTACCACGCAAGAGTGCTTTAAAAAAAACACCTGCACAAATAAATATTTTAAACAATTTATAACTAATATTAAGTACAGAAAGTGCTAATATTTTACTTTGTTTAATTACTCACTGACCTTGCCAAACCAGCGTCACGGTCATTTTGGTGTTGAATTTTTCCTCATTTGTGCTGTGCATTGTCGTATATGTAACTTGTGCCGCTTGGACCGTGTATTAATAAAGTGAGTTTTTCATGTAGATAAAACTAGGGAATGCATCCAACCCTGTATTTGTTTAGCAAGTTTTTCAATTCCGGTGAAATTATAATAATAATTGCGTATTACTAATTGTTGTTAGGCTTAAATTTTTTCTAATGCTTAGTTTTATTATCATTATCCATCCACATTAGACGTTCTTGCATGCAGATGCCCTTTTTAATCTAGGTGACTCAACAATTTATGGATTTTTATTATGGCTAAGTCGTTAGGTTTGAACCGATTTTTCTAGCATAAACGACTCCTTCTTTTGTTATTTCGCCATTTATTGTCCGTAGAAATCCTGATTAACCTGGTCTGGTCATAGCCTTTGCTGATAGTATCTATCGTCTTGTTTATTTTATCTGAAATAAAGTTAACCACAGATTGCGTAATTCCATTTTCGCTAACTGAATTCACTGGCTTTTTATTTCGAAAACTGTTTATAGAAAACTATAATTTTACTCAATTGATTGAATTATTATAGTTTAAAAATCACGGAAAGGCTACGACTCTACGTTATTTTATGTGAATATAGGAGCTTTTTATTTATTTAGTTTTTTTTCTTCATAGTGTGCTATTCCTCATGCTTCAAAAATCCCCTAAGTTCGTCTTATTTATTTTATGAAGCTTAAATTGCCATCTTGGTACTTCCAAATTGCCTTCCACTCAGACTGCCTACTTGTCTTTCCACTCGGATAACTTAGTTGTGGTTAATAAGACTTGGGAAGCAATCTTGTCGAATGTAGGGCCAGTTGATAGCGACGGTTAAGGCACTCAGAACTACTAGAGAACCTATGAATTTGTGTTTATTTATTGCTATTTTAAACAACTTAATGCTTAATATATTATTTAATTTCTCACAATCCGCTTTTCAAACGCCTGATATGAAGCTAAAGTAAAAATGTACTTTCTTTACTTATTTTTAGACACCTGAGTCAGTAATCATCAAATCAAGTAATGGATCATGTGTTGCAGCAACCTAGACTCAGAAACCCCTTTTCATCAGCTATCAGTGCGCAGGAGCGTATCTCATATGTTCGTGATGATGAAGTCAACACATTTCCTGTAGAAAATTATCTCCATCAGCAGCAACGGTCGGTAGACAACATTTGGCAGCAACAGTCTCTACTTAACGGTCAACAGCAGTTGCACCGACAATCAGCACTTTCCCATCAACCGATCCGTCCTCAGCAACTTAATTTACACGAAGAAGTTGCAGACGTTCTGTCTAATGACTATCAACAGCGCAGCCTTTTTAAGAATGGGAATGTCGCCTACATCAAGCCTATTGCGAGACAAGCCGTCTCACCACTGGAACAACCTGAAAAATTCCATCATGGTCAGGATGAGTTTATGACGTACGGAACCTACCGGAGGCTGCGAAGTGAATTCTACGATGAGGTGTTGAATGAGGGAGAAGTCGAAGACGATTATTCGCGTCAACTTAAACTGCGAGAAGAATCAATGGGTGAAAGAAAGTCACATCAACGGCAATATCTGGAGGAAGACGAAGAAAGGCGGCAAATTTCACGGATGGAGGAATTAGGGGAAATGACTTACTATGGTGAAGGTGGGGATGAATTTGATGAGGAGATTATTGAAGAAACTATTACTACGCGACCGAAACAGTTAATCCAGGCCACCGTCTTACCTCTAACCCATCACAATGATTCTCTAACAAAAGAAACATGTTCGGTTGGTGTCGGTGACTGCGACGTTAACCAATACTATCTTCTTGATACAGGCTCGCGTTCAGTAAATCCTGCTGACTTTCCGCCTGCCTATTGGGAGCGTCTTAGTCGTTACTTCTCCGAAGAAATTAAACGTAAGCGTCCCACGTGTAGGGATGTTGCGTCTCAACCCGGACCGCTGAAAAATCGCACCGTTTCTCAGGCCGCTTATATTAAAGAACCTAGTCTTCTGCGCAACTTTGGGGTGTGCGTAAAGCCGATAACAACCTCAAGAGGGTTTAACACAGACTTCATTCCGTCTCCAGATAGGCGAAATTGTGCCTGCATGACCGATGAGTTAGATGAATATTTTGCTCGTCTTCTAAAAACAATCTGTGAAAAATACCCGAATGCTGATAGAGAATTTATAAATAATTTATACCGATACAGTCGCACAGACATCTCCAAGTTTGTTCACAGACTGTGTGAACGCCTGGAGGAGCTCAGAGGCAGGGATTCAGTTGAAGTTACTAGCAAAACACAAATGTTTTCCACGGGTGTCAACGTCCGACCAGTAATGCTCAACAAATGGACGCTTTCCGCACCATCGCGTCAAAATCTGGGCACCAACACCGATTTTATGGTGCAGCGCACCATGGGCACCTCAGACGCACAGGAGTTCAATGAGAAGCCGCACAACGTGTCTGACTTCGGTGTTTCAACTGACTGTTTCATCAAACATGTTGAAACTGGAAGTCAAGTTGTGCTGAATGAAGGGGACACTTCACCTCCGCCAACTCATCCACCGCCGTCGCCTGTGGCAAGTGGCCACAAAGTGACCACGTACAGGATTAGACGAATCTCCAAACGTGTAGATAGTGAAGGCCATGTTTCCACGAAAACCTATGAGACAAGTGGCGAGGGCCTGCCACCTCAAAGCACTCTCATGGCTTCAATGGATGTTCCAGTAAAAAAAGCCTATGTAAGTCACACAACTATATTGACTAGCGTGTATGTCAAAGGATTTCATAAAGCAACTATTTAACCGGATGTCTGGAGCTCAGCGCTGTAGCTCTCGATCCCGCTGATTTTTGGTGGCGAGACCTCCAAAAGTGGAAAATCGTGACTGAATCACTGCTGTGTCTCTATTCCCGTTTTTAAGCCATTTTGATTTGTGTATGGTTATGCACTTGGTTTTCTAATCATCGTCGTTTTTTATTATCAGCAAGTTAGTGATTATGAGTAGCACATACTCCCCATGGTTTTCTTGAATGGAAAATCGAGTAAACCAAAAAAATGGGCTTGGCATGAGTAGCAATGTTAGGCTTATTCTGTGCAATGTGTCAAAATGTTCTCGTCGTCGTCGTTTTTGATTCGCTTGTTAACGGAGAAGACTTGTTATGCGCGGGCCAGTTGTGGATGCTGGACGTATTCAGTCCACTGTTGCGCCACAGTGGGATTTTACAACGAGGATTCAGACGGACGGAACTATTGAGGGTTCCATTTGTACCTTGTTTGATTCAGTAGTTTGGCGTTGTTTCGACAGCTTCAAGTCTCCGCTATTCAATCTCACTACTAGTTCTCGAAACAGTTCCGAACTTTGGACGAAATTCCATAAGATTAAGAGTCTCGACGTGCAATTTTGTAGATCTAAAGGTGATTGAAAGAAGTCCACATATTGTCTTGAACTTGTGATTGCATACTTTTTAAAACACGGATTGGGAGCATTTAAAAAATCCATAACTGCAACAATATGGCTTTATGCTTTTATTCTAGTACCATCAAGGACTCAAGTAATATTTAATCACTTTCCGTTTCGCATCTACTGGCGTCGAATCATGGATTCATCGCTCATTTGATTTTAATTGCACATTACTCCTCGTAATGCTGAGAATTTTTGCGGTCTTATTATCAGCGGTTCGACATTGCGTGATGTAAGGACGTTGTGCACAAACTAAAGCGTAAATTTTTCTCGTGTCGGTCGAGTACTTTCCTTTCTAAACGACATATTGGAGTCTAGCTACTCGCGAAAGCAGGCACAAGTTTGAATCATTGCCCATTATATTGCTGCCATTTGGGGACGACTACAAGGAAGTTAATGGAGGTAGCCATGCAAACACGGGTGCGTCGCATAATGAACACCGCTCTATAGGGCAGATCAATTATGGGGAAACAGAATCACGTAGGTCATTATTTTTCCAGGTACGTGACCCTCAGGTTCAGGTTCATCTCCAAATGGTTTTGAAAAACATTGTGCCTACAAGGATTTTCGCATGCTTTCACAAATAAACATTCTTAATCATCTACAGTTCTTATATCTGTCGTCGACAGGAAATTGTATTGAAACTAATTAATTTTCTATTAACTCCAACCTCCTCGTGTATTTGAATTTCGTTTCCTGTGTATTGCAAAAGGCAACGTCACCTCGTCCCAAGACCTCGACCGATTCGAACAGCTGTTCGCTCGCAGAAAATGTTCTCGTGGAGACGTGGGTGGATAGGAGTGACCCCAAACCCACAGGGGATCCGAATTTGCCGGATTCTTATCCCCCACCGAAAACCACAGCAGCCACCTCACCCACAGACAGGGAATCCCCAGCAGTGTTTGCCAGAACCATCGAGGTGGCCCGCTCACCGCTCTTTGCACTGCACGACGACCAGGACTCGACGTCGAGCCTGCATCTCCAACAGCCGCGCAAAACGCCCGTTGGAAGGTGCGAACCCGTGGCTGTTTTGTAATTTGCATGTATTCCTTCCCTATAACACTCGCATTTTGACATGCTCACTGCAAATGACCATTGAACATTAAATAACCCATGGTAGTGGTTTGGCATTTCACCTGCTTGTACGGAATTTTTTGCAAATTTCGATGACTGTTTCGCCTTTATTATATGGAAGTAACTAATAGAATCTAAAATCCATCTTGGCAGAAAAAATATCAACTCACTGCATTTCGTAGTCTTGATTAAGGGATGCTTGTGTGTCTGTCTGCAAAAGCTTACTTTTCTGTTCTACTCATATTAGTAAATCCCTTCATTGGTAGCATAGTATATTTGGTGTTAAGCGTTGTACTGTTGTACAACAGGCCTACTGTAGTTGGAATGAGGAAACCGTTCTGTTCAATATTTGATGACCCTGAGAGATGCCTGCAAATCCACCTCCCATATCTTTCCTTTCATCCTAAGCTCAGTTTATTTTTAACGATCAGTATAGACCGAGGCAACCAAATCCACATCATAAGTGACATTTGCGAAACATGTTAGTTGCATTTCAATGTCAAAAGTTGTAGTGAATCTTTTTTTTTCTGATCGAAAACCACATTTTACTCCGTTGGAAAAGGCTTGATCGAGTAAGCAGAGATACAAATTCCTTTAAAAAGCCTTGTGCGCAAGGTACCCACCCATGAAATGTTATTTTGCATAAATTTGCATTCTGTGGATTACGAGCCTAAACGTTAGACCGATTTGGGTTATAATCAATGATCCAAACAGTAATTTTTAAGTTGCCTTATGGTAATCCTGGTTAATGTTTTGAAATTTTAGATACGTCCGCTCAAAATGTTTAGCGTGTAGCGAGCGGGTACCCGTAACTGGAAAATAATTCCTTATTTGTCGGATTTTATCTCACATTATTCCTTTTTATTTCTAGAACTTCCACTACCAGCGGTACTTCGATCGCCTTCTGCTTACCTAATTCTCCGAATATCCCTCTGCGAAACTATACGTGAGTTTTATGCTCCTGACTTGTGCTCCGCGCTTCATTTTTATAGGTTAATTACTTTGCACAATTTGCCTTTAGGTACAAGATTAAGAAAGAGTTTAGGAAGGCAGTGGAGGTGCTCAGTAGCTTTTATTTGACTTCACCTGGCGGTGCTCTAACTGATGAACTGGTAGGTCGTTTTTTGCCTTAACTGAACCCCAGTGATGCTCTTTGTATGGCCTACCTCTTACGATCAGGCTTCTTTGTGTGGGTGCTTGTTGAGCGTGAGTCATCCAAGGCGATTGGATTTCACACCGCAGTTTTCATAGCCTAACTTCGCATCAACCGTGCTTGATACAAAAAAATGTCGACAGTCTTTCTTACACACCATTTTGTCATTTTTTTGTCTTTTCGATGCCACGTCAAAGGCGGACCAAGTGCCTAAAAAAACTTACTTTTTTATGAATTTGTTTGACTTCCCTGTTAATAGTAATAGAAGGTCGATAATGACGTTCAAATACGTGGTACATTTTGTTGAAGGGCTATCTTAGAAGTCATTGGTCAGCCGTGAAGCACCATGCCCATGTGTTCTCCTGAACCTCAAACTTCATCTATAAAGTGTCTTGTTTGTTGTGGAAACACAAAACTGTTACAATAAAAATCTTGCTTCTATGCATCAGACTTGTGTACCTTTTTTCTTTACGTCGGTGCATTCTAAAATATGCCCGTAGCATCAAGGAAACTAGTATAACTACGAACGTAATGCCAAAGCACCTTGTTGTGGGTGTTCACAAGTAAGCGTCATTACCTGTCGGGAAATCGGGAGGCCTCGCCTTGAATGCCCTCCGTGCCAAGCTGGAAGGCTTCATCGACTGTCTTCTGCTGTGCGACCAAACCGATGCGCGTAGGTGGGGAATCTAAGAACGGTAACTTGGAAGCCAAGTGAAGGGATAACGCTGCTACTGGAATCTGTTTTATGGCAAAACTAGTCATTGATTGGCGGTCTCTTTGTAGCCTATTTTCTGTTATGGTATGTAAGGGCAAGTATTGTTGCACTTTCGTATCTCTTGCACACAAAAAGATCAAAGTAAACTGGTTTCTCTTAAGAACTGTCGCTGTGATTATTACTATTTGTATTACCAATGCAATTGTTACCTTTGAAGCGTGAACACCTTGAAACGGTCCGCACAGAGTGGTTCGAGATAGTGAGCCAAACGGAAATCGATCTCGAACAGATCGAGGATTTGTTCGCGTATCTCTACAACAGCGCCCCCGAACTTCTCTACACCTTCGTCCGAATGCCAACTTCTCGAGTAAGTGTCCTTTACACGGGTCATCCCAATACAAGCCGACTTATTGTTTAATGACGCGTGTCCCTAGACATCCAGTCTTTTAATTTTGCGGAATTTATTCCAAAGTAATCATTGGGTCTAGACAGGGTACATGTGTTGACTGAACCACTACATTCTTATAAACTTACGAAAAATGATAAGAGACCAACTTGTTTTCATTGAATCAGGTTTTCAAATCGAATTGTGAATGGAAGGTGCGCTCACTCGCATACCATTCTTTTAATGCGGGGTTTTACTGGCGGCGTTTGGGGCTGCACCCATTCAATTGACTTCAATTGACAAATTTACCTGCGTGGACTAAGTAAACACTTCTCATTGCATTGATATTCAATCGCTCAACACCTGTTGCTACGTCCCTTCTCTTCTCGAGAATACCTAAGAGCGACTGCCTCGAGTGTGTACATTTCTTTCACGCCTCCGGGCGAATAGGCGCTGTTACTCCACATTTTCTGCTCCCAAGGTCAAGATTTTTACCAATCTGTCATTTAGCGAAGCACAAACTTTCGTTGGATGTTTCAAATTCTTACTAAATTAGAATGTATGCCTATTAATAGTGTTCACAGCGCTGATGGTAGACACGCAAAGGGAGATGCGCTGTTGCTGTTGTTGTTTTTTTTCCAGGGAATATTTCCTCTTTGTAGGGCTCCACCTGCCTGCATTACGCTGTGGGCCACGGTGCTTGGCGAGTCGTCTCCCTCATCCTCAACACCGGCTATGCGGATCCAAACAAGAAAAATGCCTTCGGATTCTCCCCCATAATGATCGCTGCCATCAGTGATGTATGCACGCTTACAGTTACCTGGTGCCATGTGTTGCTAGCTGTCACCCACATCGCACAAAATTTGGTCCATCCAACAGCAAAATAACACTACTTGATTAGTTTGTGTCAGGCGCTGGAGATGCGGTGTGCCAGAAGTGTCCAAACGCACGTTTTCCTGGTAGTACGTACTTTCAGCAGGCTCTTATGAATCAGGATTTGGTATGTGCGGCGTGTGTTAGCAAGGAAATTGATTCCATTTAACCACTTTGTCTCATTTGTCGACGTCGAATCAAGGACAACTCGTAAAATCGTCAGCAGGCCTTTAGCTATGGTCTTGTAAATGAAAACATTGTTGTAGAAGTCGTCGACAAGAAACACTGATTGACACACGAACGGCTGAAGCTCCTGCGGCGCAAAAACCGTTGCGCGTTGTTACCTTACAATCTTCGTAAATCGAGTTGCCACAAGCCCTATGCTAATGTGTGGTTACCAGGCTGTAAGGCTTGAACTTTCGCTGCCTTGTTCTTTGGTTTAGTTCCTTTTTCCCGAGCCTTGTGTGAGGATTTTACGATAATTTTCGTGTCCGATTTCCTCACCGTAGCTTGCCAATCTGGTGAGTTGTAATGTTTGTTTGTTTTTAAATTTGGAGTTGGTGTTGTATCTGTCGTGTTTGCACGTGCTTAACCTCGCTGGTGTCTTAATTGTTTGCCACCTAACCTTATGTAGAGGTTAGATTCTGTGTTGAATTGTTCTGTCCTCTTTTATTCCTCGGTGATGGTGCGCAGTTTCATCTGCCTTGACCCTTGTAGACTTTTCTGGTCACACGGAGATGAGCTTAAGCGTTGCATTATGACTGGTGTGCGAGTGGAGCCCGATGCCACTTTAGTGTAATTATTTAAATTTCGGACGTAGTGTGACCCTGTAGAGTAATTCCAGACTCTCGCATGTGGTGGCCAGGTGTTTGACTTCAACACCAAGCTGTACAGAACGCATTCTTGAGGTGATGGTAAATATTCCTGTGCAGCGAATTAAAAATACCAAAGTACAATGTTCTCTAGGAGCTACGACTTGCGGTGTTTTCGAGACTTTTTAAAACTAATAAAATTTGCTAAGTTTGTGATGATGGAAGTGTACGTTAGATGGGAAAAAATCGATGTGATGTGGCGTTCGGTGGCTAAATAAACGCTCTGCCATTGTGTTAGTCACATGAAACACGGAGGCAGAGCACGACAGCCTAACGAACTAGGTTGAACACACTTAACACACTTATCCCCCTTTGGAATGCTCAGGTTTTACATTCTGTTGGTGTTTGGTCTACTCTATCAGTAAACAGGTCTGCTGTGTGGGTTGAAGGACACGCGAATGGCAAAATGCAGAATATCTCAAAGGTGCATTAGCTGTATTAATGGACGGACTTTGTGCGTGTTTAATTCCTTGGGTTCAATTCCACTGTGGCGTATGAAGCGTCAGTTAAAATGGTTACCACGATGGAGAATAGTGTGCCGCCATTCTGTCACCAGGGGGTTCAACTAATCCACTTTACAATTACATCTACGCGACTTTCTTATCAGCTACGGCGTTAATTGAAGCTAAACGAAGGGGTAGCTGGGAGATTCAAAGTATACAATCATGTTAGGGATGGTAAGTGATCAATGCTTGGTGGAAGTCGGTCTCATTCACTGCATGTGGCCTTTTCTGGTTGCATTTCTAGTACATCCTGCCTTGTGCTCTAGATTCTCATTTTGTCTTTATTATGGAGGCAGGGCATTTGGAGAAATGTGACTGTACTCCAGACGTGACTCTTTTGACTTGTTTGGTGGCCTTGCCAGTCTTTGGCTTTGTGCTCTTTATAACTTCCAGTATCTTTGTATTGGCACATGTCTGTTTAGACCAACGTTTTAAATTCTACTGTTATGAAGGATGATCAGTGGTACATGTCAGAATTGCATGTTCATTCGAGCATGTATGTAAACGATTTCATTGTGAAACTAACCTTTACTTGTTCCATAGAATCTTGTTTAATTACGCTATTGATTTGGGAAACCCTTACATACAAAATTGTGGTACATGTGCTCGAGCAATCAAGGGAATACGAGTCAAATGTCAATGCAAGATTGTAGGAAAAAATCAAATTTTTCTTTTTATTGGGTAGGCAAAATTGAAATAATTAGATACGCTCCAACGAAATTTCAATGTCGTTCTCATCACTAATCTAACATTTTTTAATTAATTGATGCGGCAGGAAGGGTTTAAAATCGCAAGAAATTTGTTATTGCTACATAAATTGGCATGTACCCAGTAGATTTAGCCTTTAATTTGCATTACTAAGGTATGTGAGCTATGACATTTTACTTATCCCCCTTGAAAGTGTGTCTTCACCGTAACTATAAATAACTCACCTCTGCCAAATTGAAATCTCGCATCTTTTCTTTTCATCGTAGTCCATAACCCCGGAAGTGATTCCCATTGTGGAGAGACTGTTTGCAGCGGGCGACGTGAACCTGCGCTCCGATTCGCCGCCTGGTCAGACGCCACTGATGCTGGCCGCGCGGAAGGCCAACTCCACCGTCGTCGAACTGCTTCTGCGCCGCGGTGCCGACGTCAACGCCCAAGACTCCATCGGCAACACGGCACTGATGTGCGCCATCGACTGTGGCAACCTTGAGATGGTGAAGATGCTTGTCGCGCGCCCCGAGCTAGATATTCGTCTGCAAGATCGGGTAAGAGGGCTGGTTTTTGCCTCGATGCTGCACAGTCCACATGTGGCCAACTAGCACAATAATGTATGCCAGCTAAAGCAAGTGTCTTAGTGTGCAGATAAAACTAGTATGTAACTGTTTTGTAACCACGAGTTTTTTTATTTTACTTGTTTTTTTTCCGCTTAATGCTTGCCCAACTGCTAAACTGAATAAATGGTTTAAGTTCGGTTAGTAAAATTTTGTAAACTTTTCGCCTTGATTGTGAATGTGGACTGTACGTATCCAATCTGGCTGTGACTTCAGAAGCATTGCAAGTTATCGAAACTTAAAGAATTGTTATCTACTAGGCCCGTGTAACGGAGGCAAGCGCCAGGAAGGGTCATTCTTCACATTGCGTTAAGAGTTTGTGCGCAACATAGCACAATGCTCTCCTCTTTTCTCCGTTCTGATGGTTGCATTGTGTCGAATCCGGACCACGGCGTTTTTTAGTTTCTTGAAATCCCACTGATGGTTAAATCTACTGCTTGCCAAAGAGGCCAAAATGGAGTCCTTTTTAATCGTCCACTATATTGGTTGTTATAGGAGGGATCGACTGCAATGAGCATTGCTGAGGCGGGCGGCAACGAGGAAATCATAAAGCTGATCTGTGAGAAGGCCGCTGTTTACAAATCGGTGAGTCTTCTTACGCCCTGCTCCGCGCACTCCCGTACTTTTACGGGCCAAGCCTGTTTTATTGACTCAAATATTGTTCTTCGTTTCTGTACTGATTATTACTCGTCTGTATACAGCATTAGTACTAGGTAAGCATAAGCTTGTTTTCAAAACTTCATCTAACTCTTCGTTTGTTTGTTTTTTTTTCGTTTTAGGTAAGTGCACTACTAACAATTTTGCCTTTTTGGATAGCTTTGCTTTAAGCATTTTGATCTTGCATGATGCAGACTATTTCCTCCACTCGTCAGCTTTGATTCATTTCCTTAGCTTGTTTTTCTGGATAGGCAAACCCATGGACGGCTTGACAACAGGTCTCTTAGTTTTAGCCTCTTCGTATTGTGACATTTTTAGGATGACCTTCGAGTGTAGAACAATTTGGGTTAACCGAGGCCCTGCGTAGGGCGTCTTAGTTAAGAATCTTTATGTTCTCTGCAATGAAGTTTTTTCCCCTACATGGAGCTTAGTGGATTTCCATCGCACTATTTACAGATCAGCGTCAAGATGCATTCCTTTCTCACAATTCCCTGCCCCAATATTTCCATTGTGCTATAAGGTACCCGTTTCGGCTTTCCTTAGCTATGTCAATCACTCATGGGCGCCTAAGCTGTAGTGCACAGTCCCAATCTCTCTTTTTTCCTTCATCATCAATCGGTACATTAAGTATTCTTCTTCCCCAATCTTTCGCACCTTCAAAATGTGTACGCGATCTCCAACTTTCTATTGCGCTAATATGACTTTACTGCAATGCGGATCAGGTCGAGTGTGCGCTGACTAATTCTTCACTAGCGCTGTGATTCGCCTTGTTTTTAAACGAGTCAGTTGTTCTGTTTCAGGACTGGCAGCCTTGGTTGCGCATTTGAATTGTTTGAGGTTTTAAAGACAGCCTTTGTGTGAATTGCAATTGTGACCTCATTGTGGAACCCTCTTCAACCCTAAGTACTTGGCTCATTGCACTTGAAGCATTGTATGGCACGTGTAGCTGTCGGAAGTTCTCCGAATACACATTTTAATACTATCTTGTGGAATTGAGCTCCAGGTCAACCGGAAATGCTCAGATGAGACGCCAGATTTGTTTAAAAAGCATCTGGCATGACAAGCCTTCCCTCTTGCCAAATGCGCCTATTGCATTCGGGTGACGCTCGATTGCCGTGTGCGGTCCGATGGTAAACTCTAGATGCTACTAATCGACCTCGTAGCAATAAAAATTGAATAGATTAGTGACATTGTTGTGTTCCGGCAAAAACCGAAATATCACGCCGTCCTACACACCAAAGTGGAGATAACGTCTTCTGGTAATTACGAACTTGGTGGTAAGTTCAGCTGGCCGTGAGAATGGCTAGTGAGATCACGTGGGTTGCCTGAAAGCTTGAATTTGTTCTCATGTGAGTTCGTTCAAGTACCTCTATCAACGTTCACGCAGACGGGTACCAATTAAGTGCTTCGCAGTCTTTTTTGCCGTTTCCGATGCACCTCAAGGCGCAAGGAGTTGAAGCTGGAGATCAGCCTTAATGCCTTAAAACAACTATAAGGCTTTATTCGGGCATCCATCATAGATACAAAGCTGGAATCAAAAGGCATTATTTATCGTAGGCAATTATTTAGGTGATCTAGCATTACATGGAAGGCACACGTTTGCCTGGCGTCAACTTGTTTCACAAATTAGTCACCATCGTGAGCAATTTTAGCGCACTAATTCCAATTTATTTCCCTTAACTTTCTTCTGGCAGACCAATTCTGCAACCTGGCGATGTGCGGAATTGTTTCGCACTGATTAGATTAAATTGCCTGTTTGTGCTTCGAAAATGCGCAGGCAATTAAGGTGTGCGTCAGGTTTGCTCATTTATCTTACACGGTCTAGATGCGCGTGAGTTTTGCTTTTTCCTGACCTGAGAATCGGTGGTTCGCGTTAACATGAAGTGGTTCACATTGTAGCGCCCCCAATCGCTAGAGCCTGGTGTGTGTGTGTGTGCAAGTGTTTATTATTCACCTTGACTATTACATCTGTCTGTTTTGCCTTTCTTTGCCGCTAACAACCTCAACAATGACGTGGCGAATTCAAAAACAACCTAAAATCGTGTGTAATCCAATCGGTGAGAACGTGTGGTTGTTTTTCACTTTGTAGTAAAGCATGCACGTGGAATTCCGTGAAGTGCAAAACTAGTGCTGAACCTGGCCACTCTGAAACGTGATCTTAGTTAAGTAAGGGGGCAGTTTTAACGTCGCTGTTTTTCCTTTTAGGATCTCGCATTCCACCACACCAACATCAAGTAAGTTGAGCGCTGCCCGTAGTGTAGAGAAGAGCGTGCTTCGTTTGAGGCGTTGCCTGAGTCACGCGCTTCGGCGTTTGGCACTCACCTGAGGCCTCGTTGTGTGCATTCACACCGGTGCGACTGTGGCTGTGACCAACGCGCCTCAGGGCTGTCTTCCGATGAAAGCCTGGCTATATCAGATTTCCCGTCGTTTTTGGCGTAATAGCTCGCCATGCAATCCCTTTTCCACTCTTATTGCTGAGGTTTATGCGCACTTTGATCCGAGTCAAAACACCGCCTGTTAATGCTGATCTAAAAGGGTATTCTCTGGCCTCTTTTGAGCGATAAACAGACCTTCGAATGATGGCAACTTTTGGCAGTTTTTGGAGTCTTGAAAGTCTTTGCTAATTATGCAATGTTGGGACTGTTTACTGAGTTCTCTACCTGCATGAGAATAGCGGTTGCCAGAGTTAATTAAATGTAATTTAATTTATGGCTCGCTTATGACGCCTTGCTGTCCTCTTGATTCGTTTTAGTGTGTGTAAGAATAATATCAACCAGGCTTCATCATGGGGCGACGTCTGTGGTTTTTTTTTAGTGGCGGATGCCGCGAATGCAAAGTTATTTCTCCTGCCACGGCTTGTCCCCCCACTAAATGTGTTCTAATATCACGGATTTTGGGTCGCCTGGTTAAGCATAGATTCCCTGCAAGCGAAGGTTCAGATTCGAGGGATTTTGTGTTCTGTTATTCGTCTGTTTAAGGCATTTAATAACTTTAGCAATGCAATTAGCTCGAATCTTCAAATGTTTACAGCAAACAAATCACCAGTGCAGCATCAGCCTACGCCGTCTACTCAAGGGTCTAATTTTTGCTTGTTTGGGGTTTTGTTTGTGCGTAAGGGGCCCTCGAAATCTGATGAATCGCTAGTGTGGTATTTAAACGTTATATTTTGGACAGCTTTACTGTTATTAGTAATAAGTAAGAGAGTGGGAACGCCTTGCATTATCCAAAATTTTACATTTGTTGATTAATTTTTGGGAATCGGTTGTGGCGTCACAGTAACGCGGTCCCTAATAGTCTGCGTACATCAGGCGTAATAATTCATGTGGCCCACGAGTTGTGACATTGTTAACATTCTACTTAAATAACCTGAGTAGCTCTAGATTCTTGGATGCTTTACTTATTTGGCATAATGTTTACTTGCCAATTTCAGACATCTTTTTGAGCCACGTGCCCTTCACTTAATCCCGGAAAGGGCTGATGAAACTTCGACAACAACTACAACCACAACCTCACATTATAAATTGCACGAAAACTAATCTTAGACTGCTTTATCCCTCTGTTAATTTCGCATATCAATCCTCCGAAACTCACCCTTCTCGCAAAACCCCCTCATCCCACACACTTTCACTTAGTGCTATATTTGATATGAAACTGTTGATAATTTTACTTTTTATTTTGATTCCTAATAAAATCTATTTTCTTCTGTTCATGTTTTTCACCGTTTCCGATTTAATGGGAATAGGTGTCTTCCAGGTTTGGCTGTTGGGATATTCAGCCTTCGTTTATAACTGCTAATTCACCGAAATGAATTGGCGTGTCTTTGAGTCTTTTTTTTGTTTAGTGTGTTACCGTGTCTGAAAAGCTAATGCTCAAACCTGTTTTCAACTGAGTTGCGCAACTGGCTGTCTTAGCGTCGATTGGTTAAGTTGGATTGTTTCAATCCCCCCTACTGTGACCTAGGGGCATTTAGAATGCCACTCCATGCGCTTATTTGTCATGATGATTTTGAAATGACGCTGACCACTCATTACGCATCGCTGACTCCTCTGGCGAGTCTAACTAACGCCACTAATTTTTTTGGTGTGCCACGGCACGAAGCCGACAGTCATAAAATCCCGCCTCAGGTGGAATTATCGTCTGTTTACAAACATGCTACCCAACTGACACTTCAAGTCTTTCAAATGTCCACCGTGCAGCCACAACCCGTCAGCGCTCTCGTATTTGTCCACTAAGTTTTACCTCGCACTACAGCTAAGTTGCACTTAACGCCGTGGGAAAAAAGTGCATAACTTAAGTGTACATAATTGTGGCACACGATGTACTTGACGGTG